TACTTCACAGTTAGGGCGGCTAGGAGCTGGAACCAACTTCCAAGGGAAGTGGTGCTGGCCCCTACCCTGGGGGTCTTTAAGAAGAGGCTGGATGCCTACCTGGCTGGACTCATTTGAGTCCCGTTTCTCTTTTTGGGGTTTTGTTGTTCTCCTGCCCTGGCGGGGGGGCGGGCTAGAAGATCTACTAGGTCCCTTCCGACCCTAAATCTATGAAACTATGAAACTATAACTAGAGGTATGTAGCAAAAACATAAAGCTGTGTCTATGTCTGAATTTCTCCAAATCAATTTGGAGAGATTAAAGGGTCCTCTTATTCAGATTTGGGCCACCGAATCGGGCGGAATCTCCACCAGATCGAATCGTGGACTGAAGCTTCACACAGCCCTAATAGTTATGCCCACAGTTTTATTTGGGTGGGTAGGGAGGGAGCAACAGGAAAATTTTATTCTGAGATGTTGCCGTCAGTAGGAAAGATGAGATGAAACCAGTACTGCAGTGCCTTAACCACGAAACCTAGCCTCTTACTATTTGTAAATCTGAATGGTTCTCATATCGCTAGCAATAATGGGCTCTGTTCCAATGTAAGCTGGATAGAAACCAGCTATAGAGTTGTTAGACATTTTCAAGCACTAATTTGTATCTGATTGGCTCTTTTTATAGCTGGATAGTTATTTTTATCGTGTGAAAATTACTTTGTACATGTGGCCAGTCTAAATTTATTGTGCCATTAACCAGTTTATTGCATAATATATGTAACGTGTAGCAGGGGCCAGTGAGTGCTGCATTCTCACTTCCTGATGCAAAGAAAAACTTGTTGTGCCATTTAAACCTGATGTTAAAATCTTGTCTTTTTTGGACTCCTTTGTGCAGTCTAGTTTTTAATGCTAGAATATTGTTAATTTCTATAGTTTAATAGAGCCCGGTGTGATTCACTTGTAATCTAAACTTTCCTTTTAGTCATCCTATTTCTACCTCCTTTTCTTTAGTTTGTCTGCTTCATGACTGACATCAGTGGGGCCAAGATTTTGCCCTTGGTTCTTAACCTTTCTCAGCAGACATTTTCTCCATTTCTTCATTAATTTTCTGATATCTCTCTTTGTCCACATCTTTTAGTGATTAAATGCCAAGAGCAGAATAAATACTTCTAGCTGTGATTGCATGAAAAGCAAAGAGAAATTCAATTAAACTACTCTGGATTATGGAAGTGCCACTATATTCTTAAGTTGGCTTCATCTCAGAACTGGGTTTAGGATAGGTTTATGGAAGATGACAAGCCCTCTAGAGCCCATCTTAACAAAACAGCAGGTTTTTTTGTGGGGTTTTTTTCGGGGGGCGGTTGTTTTAATTTGAAGGAATATTATATTTTGGGTTTACTAGGTATGTCTAGGAATGGTCAGACATTTCATGTAGCAGTTTCCTGACTAATGAAAAGACGAATTCCAGAGCTGACTACATAGGTGCTGCCACTCACTTGAACATACAAATATATAGTTATCTTTCTCTTTGGTTATGGGATCATAAATGCAAAATACAGCTTGTAAATGAAACCTCTGCCCATTCACATCACCTCTGCCCTTTCTACAATCAGTGGTGTTACAAGAAGTTTAAAAGATCGACAAACTGATTGGAAATGTACAGTTCCCTTTACATTTTACCATGTTATCAATCTTGTAAGCAGTTAATAGACTTCAGCCGTCCTATTCTCAAGGCTTGTCTCATAATAATGACTGATGGGTTTTGGACTAATAGTGTATTTCTTGCGAAATTGCCTCCTCTCCCTCCCCACCCTGCCCCTCTCTCAGAACCTTGACAAAGAAATTGGACTTTTTAAGACACTTTAAAGGGTGATCAAAACTACCTAGCTTGAACTAGAAGGATTTCTTGACAGTTCCCAGAGTAGATCCATAAAGGAAAAGTCTATTGCCTAGATATTGCTCATAATCATGAAAGTTTGTCATGACGCAAGCCTTTCTCCTGTGCTATAATACTGTGCAGTCTAGATGGGCATAAAACTAGTCAAAAGTGTCGCTATCAAATCTTCCAGGGTGAAATGTCATAGGCAGTGAAGATTTACTGACAGCACAGCAAGGTTATTGAAAAGCTTGATGGGATAGTATTTGTGTTCACTTGCTCCACAGTGAATGGGGGGAAAAAAGATGTGTTAGGTTATTCTCTGCAGTCTTAAGCCTTTGGTTTCTCCTGCATTGGTTGATGTTTGAGGCAACCCTCAAAAGGGGTGTAAAGCAGGGAGACTCCTTGCAGGATGTAAGCTAAATAATAGGCACAACCTACTTTACTGTATATGAGCTTCAAGCTTTCTTATTCCCCTGAAGGTTAGTCAGAAACAAATATGGAGATCCATGGGAAAGTTATTGGTCTATTGGAGTGAAACCAGGTTTCTACTAATGCAGGTGTCCTGTTTGGCTG